CTCTACTCCCCTCTGTTCCCCCGACTCTTTTCTTCTCCCCTCTGCCTTCCTCTCCTCCTCTTCTCCTATCCCTTTCCCTTCTCTTCTCTCTTCCCCATTTTTTTCTCCTCTTTGGCTGGATTTGAGGTTCATCTGTAGAAGTATCTACTTGACTTTTAATATCATGAAAACTCGAAGCAAGCTTTTCTAGAATCCAAATCTCATTCCTTCCCCTCTTCTCCCCTCTCTTCTGGTGAACAGCAACACTATTATTTGACAGGGCTCAGACCTTAGTGCAGTTTTTCACTCCATACCTTCCTCACTTTGAACATGTGATAGGTCAACAAGCACATCTGGAACATGTGATAGGTCACCAAGCACACCTGGAACATGTGACAGGTCACCAAGCACACCTGGAACATGTGACAGGTCACCAAGCACACCTGGAACATGTGACAGGTCACCAAGCACACCTGGAACATGTGCTAGGTCACCAAGCACATCTGGAGCATGTGCTAGGTCACCAAGCACACCTGGAACATGTGCTAGGTCACCAAGCACACCTGGAACATGTGCTAGGTCACCAAGCACACCTGGAACATGTGCTAGGTCACCAAGCACACCTGGAACATGTGCTAGGTCACCAAGCACACCTGGAACATGTGACAGGTTACCAAGCACACCTGGAACATGTGCTAGGTCACCAAGCACATCTGGAACATGTGACAGGTCACCAAGCACACCTGGAACATGTGCTAGGTCACCAAGCACACCTGGAACATGTGCTAGGTCACCAAGCACACCTGGAACATGTGCTAGGTCACCAAGCACACCTGGAATATGTTGGTCAGCAAGCACCAGGGATCATTTGGGTGCACAATCAGCTCTGCATCCAAGCCCTTCTCTTTCTTCTCAGGTGTTCACAGTTTTTTCACATCTCTCTCTGATTTTGGCTTTAGTCTGAACATAGCCACCACTGTAATACTTCATAAGGTGTGTAACTACCTTTGTTTAGAATTCCCCAGGGGCTGGTGGCACGACTAGCTTTCGAGACGAGCAGAAAGGCCCTTAGCTAAGCTCATGAGAACCTGAAGCTCTGTCTCAAGCCTGTTACCCATTTCTTGCTCTCGCCACTCCCAGAATAAAGTCCCACCATCTACAATACCCTGTGCTTAGCATGGATGGTGTCTCATGCCTATAATTCCAGTACTCAGGAGACTGAGCGGGGATCACTATGAGTTTGAAGTCAGACTGGCTGCTATAGTGAGTTCTACAATGAGACCCTGACTCAAAACAAAACACATCTGGTGCTTAATGGAACTAGTATTTACATTCTTGACCCACAATCTTCTTTGGTCTGGAATTCTTTTGTTCATTCGCTTATTAAGTCATTGATCATGAATGATGAATGCTGTGGAGTGTTTATTCTGCTCCAGACACTCTTTAGTGACTGGAGATGTAGCAGTGAACACGAACATGACATAAGTTCCGCATTCATAAAGCTCACGTTCTAGTAGACAAAGACAGTACGTGAATATACGACGAGGTTTAGATCTGAAGGCTATGAAGGCAATGAATTTGAGTGATGAGATTACGGGTGTTAAAGGGTACATGTGTGACTCTCCAGGCCTTTTCTTTCTACAGTATTCCCTGGAAGATTCTCTCAAGCATGTCTGTTTTAACAGAGATCTTTGTTAGCAGGAGACAAGCCTGAGGTCCAAGGGAACAGCAGGTATGAGATCTCTGTGTAATTAGAGTGCCTTGAACATTTTACAAGCTCTAGTGGATGACCTGTGCACTGCTTCTCAGAGACGGAGGGTAGGAAGTGCTAGTGGATAGGGATGAGAAGGCAGCCAAAGAATGTTAGGCCTTGTAGGCATAGCAAAGGGGTTTCTTTTTAATCTAAAAGGAGGAGGGATATGTTTGACGGGGTTTGCACTTCCAAAAGATTATTGTAGAATGACAAGGGTCAGGATGTGGAGAAACCGAAAGACTAGAATAATGGCAGTAGGAATTTAGTTGCTGCGGAACAGTCTAGCAGTTCCTCACAGAACAAAAGTCACCTCCCAGAGTCAGCATATGAAAACACCATGCTCGCTGAAAGAAGACAGACAGACAGACAGACGTGGTGGCATACTCCTGTAATCCTAGCACTCAGAGGCGCTGAGGTAGGAGATTGTAAGTAAAAGGCCAGAATGGGCTGTCTAGTCAAGGGTAGAGAGTCCTAGCCTGCCCATGCCTGTCTACCAGCAGTGTGGTAGATTAAGCTCACCCCTTTCTCAAAAAACAAGCAAGCAAGCAGGCAGACAGGGAGACAGGCAAGCAAGCAAGCAAAGCCCAAGCAGACTTAAAGGCCTCAGGCTTTATATATATGAATACCTAGAAGAGTCAAATCTATAGGAATGGAAAGCATCAGTAGTTACCAAGGGATGGGGGCGGGGTACAGAAAATGGAGAATGACTGCCCCGTGAATGTAGGGTTTTTCTTACAGGGTGATAAAAAGGTTCTGGAACTAGATGGTGGTGATGACTGTAAAAAACTGTGGACGAATGTAACAGCACTGAGTTGAACACTTTTGTAAAATGGTGTTAGTGGTAAATGTTATGATATTTGTTTTAGTTAGCTCAGGCTTTCACAACAAAGAGGAGGCTTAAACAACAGAAATACATTATCTCCCAACTCCAGAGACTGGGAGGTCTAAAAGGGAGGTGGGGACCACACAGGGTTGATCTCTGGTGAGGGCTCTCGACTTGGTTGTGCACAGCAGCCTTCCTGGCGTGTGCTCACTTGGTCTTTTCTCAGTGTGTGTAACAGGGACAGATGAGCGGGATGGAGGGAGGCAAGAAAGAAGAGAAGAGAAGAGGAGGAAGAGGGGAGGGGGGAGAGAAGGGAGGGGAGAGGAGGAGAGGAGAACAGAAAAATCAAATTCCTCCATGTTTCTTCTTAAAGGGTATTAATTCTACTGAATCAGAGGCCCAAGTCTGTGATTTTCTTTAACCTTTTACTTCCATAGTCCAAATGTAGCCACACTGGGGTGGGGTAGGGCTAGCCCTTCAATGTATACATTTTAGAAGCGAACAATCCCATCCGTAATATTATGATGTATATTTGACAGTAATAATAATAGTTGTTTAGCTACTGTGGGAACATAACTGTAGTGAACATATGAAGATTAGTTCAGAGACCAGTGTGGGAATACAAGAGATGAACAGGGTGGTATTAGAGAGGAACATTTACTCAGTCTTTCCCCTTCTTGTTTTCATGTAGGGATGCTTGTCTGTCATAACAGTCTTTGACCCTCACCCAACCCTTACTTGCTCTTCTTATTACCTGTTGGTGGGTAAAGGCCATCAGTCCACATCTCTAATGGGGGTGAAATAGTCTATTAATATGTTGTAAAGACTGGAGATGTCACAATGGACCCCGTGGCAGCACAGGCCATCCAGATTAGCATGGCCCCAGGACACCAACATAAACTCTGACCAGACCCTGGTTGTCTGCACAGCCTTCAGTGGTTACTGAAGCCATGGGCGTCAATACAGACCCTGGCTGCTGCAGGGCCACGGACCCAGACATGGCTCTCTGCAGCAGCTCAGGTCTGGGGGTGAATGTCTGTGGGGAACCAGCCCCCACCTTTCACAGGGTTCCTATGAGGAGGAGAGAGGAATAAATAACTTGTAGATAGAAGGATGGGCCTGGCTGACGAGAGGAAGAAAGAAGAAACAGGATAGCTTCAGGAGGACCTGGGCCAATACCCAATGGCTCAGAACCTGCCACGGGGCAAGGCAGAAGACCTCCCCCTTGCTAGATACAGCCAAGTGTAGACCCTTCCAAACACCTGGTACCCAGGCCCGAGGTCCAATCATCCTCTTATGCAGTCCGGCTGGGAAAAGCAAGCTCAGATCTCACTAGGAAACCTCTGTGGGCTCCCACAGAGACCATCATGTCCCTCAGTGGCAGCACAGGCCCCTCAAGATCAACATGGGCCCAGTGGCAGCATGGCCCTTGGATACCAAAATGGCTACAGGTGTCGGCCCAGACCCCTAGCATCCCTGTTGCCTTGGTGGCAATGTGGGCCATGGAGGTCCACACAGACTCCAGCTACGGTAGGACCACAGACCCAAACATGGCCCTAGGCAGCAGCCCAAGCCTGAATGTCAGGCTGGTCTAGGGCGGCAAGCAGGGTGCCGACATGAGCCTCTTACCACAGCACACAAATCATTGCACATCTCTTTCTTTCCCGTTTCTCCACCATATACTTGCTCATCATAATGGCACCCCTGGGAAGGCCGTGGATACCTTCCAGCAGCCCAGATCCTGAGGACCCAGACTGCCCTGTGGGTGTCTGTTGCTGTCTTGAGCCATGTAGCATCAAGTGGGCCTGTGGATGCCTTCAGGTGGCCTGGACCATGGTGACCCAGGTTGCCCTGTGGGTGTCTTTTTACCTGCCAGAGCTACAAAAGACACCCACGGGTCCTCATGGTCCAGGGTCCTGAGCGAATTAATTTTCAAGATAGATGAAATGGTGATTGACTTGAAGGGTTGGTAGGAAACTTGGTAGACATTTCTACAGCCGTGGTAATTTCCAACTTCATTCTATAAAGCAATTTAAATTGGAAGCCACAGTCCTTATGGAACCCAGTACTATGTACCATGAATATGTTCCAATAAAAAATACTTCACAAACACATCACAGTGGAAAGCAAACAAAAAAGAAAACACAGAATACCCCCCACCACCCCCAGGGTCTTTAATATTGCTTTGTCATTTAGCTGTTCTTGCTGCTATTCCCCTGTGGCCCTCACATTAGAAATAATATCATGACTAAAAGTTGTTTAAGAGAGACCTGAGATTTCTGTGTTGTTATACTCTGTCATGAAATCCAACGTGGAACTTCTTTTATTATTATTTTTATATCTTTCATTAAGGTCTTGATGGGTCCTTTTGGGATAGTGAACATACTTCAATTTATTTAAAGAAGGTTATGGTGTGTTGTATAATTTATTTAAGAAGGCCGTGGTATGTTGTATAAAAGGTGACTTCTCTTTAACACTTCCCTTGACAAGGATGGAAGAGGCCCTCTGGCCTTACAATACCTTGATGATTTAGGCATTGCCATTTACTTAGGAAGGCTATTGTGATATTTTGGGGAGCATCAAGGGGTAGGGAGAACAAAGGTCAAAACTGAGATGAATACTTATGACTTTTGCAATTCAGATTTTGTACTTTTAAGTTCCTCTACAAATCAGCATGAATAAATAAAAGAGCATTTCTTACTGTCTTCTACAAATGATCTCTCTTTTGGAGCAAATACTCTCAATGAAGGAAAATTCACATTTGCACCTTGAATGCCCTGTGATAGAGGATTGCCTGGGCACATGTGGAGGACTTGTGAGTCCACCAGATATTAAATGGGTATTTTAATAAAGGGTGTTTACGTGGGCAACTCCTTCTGGATGCACTAGACCTAAAGGAAGAGAGAACAAGAGGTTGGGTATATACTCAAAGGCTGTAGCAAGTCCGTGGACTGGCATAAACAGGAGAGGTAATTACCAGTGTAGCAGGCAGGTGTCATTTAAGAGTAACCAAGGCAATGCATGTCTGAATCCTAAGGCAGTAAGAGAGAATAAAAGAGTGAGAAAAAGTGACTCCATGAAAATTTCTGTGTAGTTTAAGCACATATTCTGCCACTTATAATAGTGTAAAAATGTGGTGGCTCCAAAGGACAACTTCCTTAGCTAACAGTACCATCAAAAATGGCATAAGCAACTGTTGGACGTTACTGGCCTTACAACATGAGCAGCTAGACATGAACAGTGACAGCATGGTATCCGGGCGGGCAAGTATATCATGGACTTGACTTAGTCTGGTTACATGTTTTCCTAGAAACTGTTAGTATTAGTGCTTTAGTAGACAGCAATAGGAATGATGACAGTGGTTTTGACTCATGACTAATTTTACGTGCCCACTTGACTGGGCCATAGCATGTCCAGATAGCAGATTAAGAATGATCCCTGGGGAATGTCTTCAAAGACTGGAAGAAATTAGTATTTGAGGGGGTGGGTCCAGCAAAGTAGATGACTTTCCTAATGTGAATAACCATCAGTTAATCCATTGAGGGGCTAAAAATTAGAACAAGAAGTTGGAGGAGGGTTGGATGTACTCCAACTGCTTGGGCTGGGACATTTATCATCTACTCTTGAATTCCTTACTCTCAGATGTTCAATTCTGGTCTGAAATCTCATCATTAGCTCTTCAGTGCTCAAGCCTGAGCTATGATATTGACTTTCCTGTGTATCAAGCATGCAGATGAAAATCATGGAACTTCCTAGCTCCCACAATTGTACAAACCAGTGTTTTATAATAAATCTCTATCATCTATTGATATACTCATAGGTATTTATGAACATATTTATAGATTAAACATGCATGTATTTTATTTATTCTGTTCTTCAAGAATGTTGGGCAATCCAGATATCACCTGGTATATGTTGCCACTGTTGGTATGAACCTTGCAGCCGTACATGTGAGACTCACCTGGAAAGTTGCGTACAGGTTTAAGTAGAGTTGGAATTCCTACAAAATTGAGGTTGTAGAAGCAGCCTTGTAGTTTTCTGCTTTTCATTGTGGCTGTCTTTTGATCCCAAGTTAGAATAACCTGAGGACGGAATCTGAGCAGTGTGGATGTGACATTCAGCTTCAATGTGAATGTTTGGGGGATGTAGGCACTCAGGGGGAATGGCTCACTAAGAGAGACAGTGGCCCGTGGCCGGAATCTCAGCAGCTGTGGGGCTAAAGGAGGAAGATCTTGTGTGAGGCCATCCTTGTTTATCCAGAAAGACCACTTCTCCATAGAGAATCATGAAGAAAGAATTACAATGCATTCCTTCTGTTCTCTTCCAAACTTCCTTCTGTATATCTTAATAATGCTTAAGATCTCTTTAGCTTCAAGATGGCCAACTTATTTTATACCAAGGGTCTTTGATAAAGCAAATGTTTCATTAACATTCTTTCCACAAATGTAGAAGAATAATAAATGAATATAAATTTTATGGATGCCCTGCAGGCCAGAGCCAACTAGATAGATCCTATGTTATGTTATATTATAAATACGTTACAACTGTTGCTGGAAAATCAAGCATCATCACTTTCCATTCCATCATTCATTCCTAGGGCCTTAGCTCCATGTTGATCATTAGCATCCAGCATCACTGCTGAGTTTGGCAAACAGCTGCCTGGTTTGGTTTAGGGCTAAGACCTATTCTGGCAAAGATGAAACTTTACTTGTTCCAGAAGAGATGGTTTGGATTGAAACAGCGTGGAAGTCTGCCAGAGCGGCAGGGATCAGAAGGAAGGTTGGCAGTGCATGTCTTGTGAATTATACCCTCTGGGCGACAGTGAAATCTCTAGACTCTGGACACCAGGTGACAAAGTGCAGAGTTTTGATCTGTGGGCCGTGCCTGCATATGGGGCTGTGACACTGAATGTGGGGGGCGCAAAAATTTGGTGATGGTGAAAAGTTTCTGAACTTGCAGTGACCACAAATTGATTCAAAATCAAAGGCAAGTGAACGTGAGGTGGTCCTGGTAGTGCTCACCCATGTCACATCATGTGACCTCACTGCAACCTTGGTTCTGAACACACAACACACAGACACTTTGCACCATACATGATGCTACTCCAACAATTGCTGACTGAAACATTTAGGCTGAGATTTGAGACTAGTATAGGTTATGAATTGACTGCTTTTACTGTGCAGGCAAAGCTTTTCACTTTTGTAAAAACATGATGGATTAATTACAGAAAATAAAAGCATTTTAATATTTTTTACCATCACTCCTCAGGGTGTAAGCATTACATCTGTATATACTTGGGTTATATTGTGTTAGAATGCTTGATTTTAAAAATTGCCATTTGAGTTGCTGACTTGAGTTTCCTAAAAGGTCATTAAATCATGAGGTGAATTTTTGTTTGAGATCAACACAGAATTCCCCAGCAATATCTGAAATGGCCACTAAAACATTTCTACTATTTTATACCACATATTTACATGAAGTGATATGTTTCTCAGCATTAATGATTATAAAACCCAAACAACGTTCAGTGCAGAGAAATGCTGAAGTTCTACATCCTGTAGGGTCAAATGTTCAGCTAGCATTTAAATTTTTATGTAAAAATAATCAAGCACATCATCTTATTAGTATTTGCTTTGTTCTTTAAAAAAAATAGTAAAAGCTAACATATATCAAATAATTATTTTTTAAGCTGGTTCATGATTTGTTATCACTAAGTGATTTGTACACGTATTTAGCACACTTATATGCCCAGGGCTGTATAACACTTTTCAGGTGAAAAGGGTCATGAGTAGAAAACATTTAAGAAATTCTGTGCTATAAGATCAGGCCAGTCAAAATTTGAGGATGAGCTGGATATGATGGTGCACTCTGGAGGTAGAGACAGGCAGATCTCTGTGAGTTCAAGGCCAGCCTGGACTACATAGTGAGTTCCAGGCCCACTGGGATTACCTAGAAAGACACTGTCTCAAGAACAACAAATTCCAGCAAGCATGGGCTGAAGCCCCACCTCCTTCTGGGAAGGTATTGGCAGTTGAGGGCTGCTGAGGGAGGAGAGTTACTCTTCTGCAGGGACTTGGTTGATGGTAGGTTGCTCATGTCCTCATGAGTGGGTATGCGCCCATGAGCATCCAGCCAGCACTTAGTGGACTCAGGGGTTATTAGTAACAAAGAAAAAATAAAAAGATTTGAGTTTGGGAGGGAGATGGAATGAGAAGAATTAGGATGAGTTGGAGGGAGGTAGTAGTGGATGGATATGACCAATGTACATTCTGTAAATGGAAGAGACTTTCAAAGGATAAAAAGTGATTTTTCTTAGGGGCCTGGAGATACGATTCAACAGTTAAGAGCACTGGCTCTGCTTCCAGAGACCTGTATTTGATTCCCAGCCCCAACATGGCAGTACATAATTGTCTGTGACTCTAGTTCCAGGGAATTCAACACCCTCTTCTGACCTCTGAGGATGCTAGGCACATAAGTGGTACACAGACATACATGCAGATAAGAGGTACATAAAGATAAAATTAAAGTAAAAAAAATACTATTTTTGAAAAAGCAAAACCTTTTCAATCCCAGAAATCCTAATCAGGGCATGTCTTAGTTAGGGTTTCTATTGCTGTGAAAAGACACCATGACCACAATAACTCTTATAAAGGAAAACATTTAATTGGGGCTGGCTTACAGTTCTAGAGGTTTAGTATATTATCCTCATGGTGGCATGTAGGAAGACCTGGTGCTGGAGAAGGAGCTGAGAGTTCTAAATCTTGATTTGCAGGAAGTAGGAGACTGTGTTCCACACTGGACATAGTTTGAGCATATGGGACCTCAAAACCTGCCCCCACAGTGACTCTTCCTTCAACAAGGCCACACCTACTCCAACAAGGCCACATCTCCTAATAGTGCCACTTTGTAGGGGCCAGCATTCAGACACATGAGTCTATGAGGGCCATACCTATTCAAACCATCACATGGCACTTTTGTAGTCATGAGGGTAAGATGTGGCATCATGTCACTGGAACACATTTGTAGATGGAAAAGGTCAGACCCAGGTTAGTTCCTCATAAAACTCCATGGCTGTGCATACTGATACTAGTCAGCCATGATATTGTTACTAGAAATATTTTGTATAACATCATCTCAAGATGCCATTAACTTGTCAAAGGGAATCCATTAGCATCTTATTTGTCTAATAAGCTTTTCCCATGCCTTTGAGAACCCAGGATATGCTTTTATGTTATTTTATAAAATAACAGAGGGCAATTCAAGGGTAAATGAGGTTCTGAAAACTAAAGCAATTCTGAAAAATAGCAATGTAAATATTTAGAAAAGGATACCTCAATATTTTTCATATCATAAACAAAATATTGAATTTTTTGGTAGCAAAGGAAGATTTGATTTGAATAGCAAAGCTTGTAGATAATAGCAACAGTAAAAGCATCTTTCATAAATGAAAGGGCACTTGAAAAAGCAGTGGGAACTTAAAGTGGAGATTGAATGCTTGAAGGAGGGCTGAGCAGTAAAAGAACTATTATGAAATTTTCTTTTTAGGAGTATTGGAAGAAAATATTGAACAG